ATTAAAGCCGGGCGTGGTGGCTCAAGCCTGTAATCCCAGCACTTTGGGAGGCCGAGGCGGGTGGATCACGAGGTCGAGAGATCGAGACCATCCTGGTCGACATGGTGAGACCCCGTCTCTACTAAAAATACAAAAAATTAGCTGGGCATGGTGGCACGTGCCTGTAATCCCAGCTACTCAGGAGGCTGAGGCAGGAGAATTGCCTGAACCCAGGAGACGGAGGTTGCGGTGAGCCGAGATCGCGCCATTGCACTCCAGCCTGGGTAACAAGAGCGAAACTCCGTCTCAAAAAAAAAAAAAAAAAAAATTAAAAATACTTTCCTTTCTCTCCTTCCTCAGAGGTTGTTATCACTATTGTGAATTCAGTGTTGATAGTTACCGTATATTTATACTTTTTGTTTTGTTTTGTTTTTTGAGATAGAGTCTCACTCTGTCACCCAGGCTGGAGTGCAGTGATGTGATCTCAACTCACCAACTCACTGCAACCTCCACCTCCTTGGTTCAAGTGATTGTCTTGCCTCAGCCTCTGTAGTTAGTTCCTGGAATTACAGGTGCCTACCACCTCACCTGGCTAATTTTTGTATTTTAGTAGAGGTGGGGTTTTACCATGTTGGTCAGGCTAATCTTGAACTCCTGACCTCAAGCAGTGTACCCACCTCTGCCTCCCAAAGTGCAGGGATTACAGGCGTGAGCCACTGTGCCTGGCCATATTTTTATACTTTTATTATTTTATATATTTGTATATTCATGAGCAATATATAATAATTTCTAGGTTTTAAATTTTACGTAAGTATGTATCCTTCAGCACCTTGACTTTTAAATTTAACATTGTTTCCCTCCAAGATTTATACCTGTTGTAAAATTATGCCAAGTTTATTCGTAGGAGCTGCTGTTTGGTATTTCATTAAGTGAATATATGTTGTTCTATTGACAGACATTTGCTTCTGATGTTTTGCTGTTTTGATCTGATTGATTTCTGAGAGATTATTATATATTCTGGATTCTTTTTTTTTTTTTGAGACGGAGTTACCCAGGGTGGAGTGCAATGGCGCGATCTCGGCTCACCGCAACCTCCGCCTCCTGGGTTCAGGCAATTCTCCTGCCTCCGCCTCCTGAGTAGCTGGGATTACAGGCATGTGCCACCATGCCCAGCTAATTTTTTGTATTTTTAGTAGAGAGGGGGTTTCACCATGTTGACCAGGATGGTCTCGATCTCTTGACCTCAGGAGCCACCCGCCTCGGCCTCCCAAAGTGCTGGGATTACAGGCATGGGCCACCGCGCCCGGCATGTATTCTGGATTCTAATCTTTTGTGTTTGTATGTGTCACCAGTATCTTCTCCTACTCTTTGACCTCTCTTTTAATTTTGTTTACAGTGTCAAGTTGTGTAGAAATTGAGTCAGATGGATAAATCATTCCCTTTTTTTTTGGTCTTATCTAAGACGTTCTTCCCTACCTGTATCTTCTTACTTTAAAAAATTTAATTTTTTTTTGTTGTTGTTGTGACAGAGTCTCACCCTGTCGCCCAGGCTGGAGTGTGGCACAATCTCGGCTCACTGCAACTGCAGCCTCCCAGGCTCAAGCAATTCTCCTGCCTTAGCCTCCAGAGTAGGTGGGATTACAGGCACCCACCACCACGCCTGGCTAATTTTTGTATTTTTAGTAGAGAATGGGGTTTTACCATGTTGGCAAGGCTGGTCTGGAACTCCTGGCCTCAAGTGATCTGCCTGCCTCAGCCTCCCAAAGTATTGGAATTACAGGTGTGAGCCCATGCGCCTGGCCCTTCTTTTCAAATTAAGTCTCTAACCTACTTAGAATTGTTCTTTAGTATCAGTGTGAGGTAGAAGGATGTAATTTTATTATGTTCCATTGTAGTCAGTTGTTCCCAAATCGTTTATAAATAGACCATTTTTTATTTACTGATTTCTGTGATTAATCCTGTAATATCAAATTTCTTTATATGCTTTGGATTAATTTGTGGGCTGATGTATGTGTCCCATTGCTGTATCTGTCTTTCTCTGCATCAGTAAATATCTTATACCTTACTAGCCTAAGCATTGATATCTGGTAGTATGGATCATCCTTCTTTGTTGAAAGAATTATGGCTGATTCATGGTCCTTTGCCCTTTAGTGTAATCTTGTTTGTTTGTTTGAGACAGAGTTTTACTTTTGTTGCCCAGGCTGGAGTGCAGTGCAGCCATCTTGGCTCACTGCAACCTCTGCCTCCCAGGTTCAAGCGATTCTTCTGCCTCAGACTCCCAAGTAGTTGGGATTATGTGCACACCACCATTGCCTGGCTAATTTTTGTATTTTTAGTAGAGACAGGGTTTCGCCATGTTGGCCACACTGGTCTTGAACTGACCTCAGGTGATCCACCTGCCTCGGCCTCCCAAAGTGCTGGGATTACAGGTGTGAGCCACCATGCCTGGCCACCCTTCAGTGTAATTTTAAGATTAACTTGTCAAAACCTGTTGGGGTTCTAAGTGAAATGGACACTTTTATTCTTCTAGTCTTAACTGTCATACTGTATTTCTCAACTTATTTAAATCTTAAGTAGCCATCAGTTTAGCAAATGTATCTCAGATTTCTGAGTTCTTTCTTTTGATGTGTCATCTACTCAGTGTATAATTAAAGACTAACATCTCTTAACCTTTTAGTTTATTTAGATTTCAAAAGTCTGTAAAAACTTAGTGCCTCCTTTCCAGGTGTAGTGGGGAAACAAAATCCCATTTAGTAAATTTGAATGTTCCTCAAGAAAGGAGTTTGTAAGTAAGAATAGGTAATATGCATAACACCTTCATTTCTTTAATTCTTTATTATTTTTGTAAAACACTTTGCCTTATTTTTAATCTCTGTGATTTGGGTAGTTTCTTTTGTATTTTATATACTTTGGGTAAACTAAAGAAAGAAAGATAAATTTAATTCTAGGACTGTCATACTCATTTTTAGCAGCAAGAGAACAATACTGTGGATTTTAAATAAGTACACACAGCTCTCTCCACCCAAGATTTAGAATAGAGAATGTTAGTAATAAAGCAGTATTGTTTGTAACTCCAGCTGTAGAGTGCTAGAAACTCTTCAGAAGCATTCCAGGCTGGCTGGGTGTGGTGGCTCAATGTCTGTAATCTCAGCACTTTGGGAGGCCAGGGTGGGTGTATCACTTGAGGTCAGGAATTGGAGAACAGCTTGGTCAACCTGGTGAAACCCCATCTCTTTTGAAAATACAAAAAATAGCCAGGCATGGTGGCATATGCCTGTGGTCTCAGTTACCTGGGAGGATGAGGTGGAAGGATCACTTGAGCAGCCTGGGAGGTGGAGGTTACAGTGAGCCAGGATTGCACCACTGCATTCCAACCTGGGTAACAGAGGAAGACCCTGTCTAAAAAAAAAAAGAAGAAGAAGAATTTAAAGTGAATCCTTGGTGTTTTTCTCTTCAGCAAGATTCAAAGGTTTTTGTATAAGCATTGAGAGATTGATTAGTTGATTCTAATCAGGGGTGAAGTTTCCCAGGAGACCATGTTAAGAAACTGACAATTAAGGGAATTAAGGCTCTTTACAAGGGCATTTAATAGTGACCCTTGGAATCTAAGTTGAACAAGAAGGGGAGTGAGGACATAGTGAAGTTGATGGATCATGAGAAAAATGGCAAAATTAGCAGGTGGAACCTACAAAATAAGCCCAGGGAAAAAAATAAATTAACAGGTGGGAGATACTGAGATAGGAGAATTACTGGTCTAGATGAACGAGAAGGATAGGAGGTGGTCGTCAGGTGTCAGGATGCCTGACATCCAGATTTTGGACATGAGGCAGTCTTTGGTGCGGATATTGAAGGGTATTACCACAGAATGGGAAGCTGGAATTGTGTGTTGGGCCTGATTGTGAAGAGGAGGCTAAAGACATGGAAGACCACAGTGTTTGGCGAGTTACCCATGTGGGCGATGGTTGATGTTAGCAAGAGCAGTTTAGGGGTAGAATGGAAGATGGCCAAGTCTGAAGTGTCCAACTGAAGAGTAGGGAAGTTGGGGGTCAGTAGATGACATGAACAAGGTCGGATAGTAGACGAAGTCTATTGGTGAGAAATTAAAATGTACTCAGGTTTTTGAAGACAGAGGAGAAAAGGTTTAGAAGAAGCAAGAAGGAATATTCCCCACTTAACAGCAAATACAGAAAAGAAGCAGCAATCTTCAAATGAGAGCGTTTCACGGACAGGTTTTAGTTAAGAGACAGAAGGGGAACGTTTTAGGGAGGTTGAGTAGTAGAAGAGTTGTCACTCACTAAAAATCAGCCATTTAATCATTATCATTGTTATCGTTTTTAATATTAGATTTTGAGCCAGCTGTAATGGTGCACACCTATAGTCCTAGGTACTCTGGGGCCGAGGCAGGAGGATCTCTTGAGCCCAAAAGTTGGAGACTGCAGTGAGCTGTGATTGCACCTGAGTGACACAATGAGACCCTGTCTCTAAAAAACATAATATTATTAAATTTTATGATTAGCTATTCTGTAACTCTTATTTCTGGATACTTTAATAAACTGTAATATATGATTTTTTTATTGAATAGGTTTCATTTTCTATAAAAGTTTGATTATTAGGCCTTTGGTAATGTTAAAGTACTCATTATCCTCTCATATATATTGGAAAATCAGATTTAATTTTTTTTGTGGTATGTTTACCATATGCCAGGCTCTTACCTATTGTTGTAAATATGAAAATATGTAAGATATAATACCTCTTCTCAAAGAGGATCAGTGAGGTCACAAGAATATAATGTGTGAGCATATACGTCCATATACACACACACCTATCAGACTATTAGCAGTGGTCACCTCTGGGACAGTGAAGGGCTAGATGTTAAAGGGAACTTTCCAATTTTAGCATCTTTTAATACAATATATTTTTTACAAATAGAAGTATTAAGATAGAATTTATGGGAGTCACATTTTTGTATAATAATTGAAAGGAGAAACTGTGTTTTTTAAGCCTTTGTCTATTTCTTCTAGGCAGGAATACCAATGGGACCAATGCCAGCAGCGGGAATGCCTTACCTAGGACAAGCGCCCTTCCTGGGCATGCGTCCTCCAGGCCCACAGTACACTCCAGACATGCAGAAGCAGTTTGCCGAAGAGCAGCAGTAAGAGATCGCCAAAATTCAAGAATTGCAAAGATACATTATAGCATCTATCTTAAGAATTGTCTAATGATCTCTAGTGCAGATTTGAAACTAAAACAGTCAAAAGTTGCCTTTAAAACTCTTAAGGCCTGGCCCAGTGGCTCATGCCTGTAATCCCAGCACTTTGGGAGGCTGAGGCAGGCAGATTGCTTGAGCCCAGGAGTTTGAGACCAGCCTGGGCGACGTGCCGAAACCCTGTCTCTACAAAAAATATAAAATATTAGCCAGGCATGGTGGCTCATGCCTGTAATCCCAGCTACTCAGATAGCTGAGGTGGGAGGATCACCTGAGCCCCGAGGTTAAGACTGTGGTCATGCCACTATACTCCAGCTAGGGCAACAGAGTGAGACCCTGTCTTAAAAACAACAACGACAACAAAAAACCCTCTTTAAAATACCATTATTATAAGTTTATAGTCAAAAGGGACCTTAGAGAGCCTCTAATTCAACCCTCTTGTTGTACATCTGGTGAAAACAAAGTCTGGGAAAATGAAAGAGCTTGTCAGTCCGGGTTACAGGGTTAGCAGCAAAGCCTGGACCCACAGGCAGGCTTCCTCACTCCCAGGTCATTGCTCTTTTCTCCTGTGCGACACTGGCTTCCCAAGCACGTCCTTTTTTAATGTGCAGAGCAAGGTGTGTTCTTACGTTTATTTGCATCCCTGGTTTATGAGAATACTTTTGTATGCAAAAGCTTGTTTCCTCCTCTTGCAAATCAGATAAGAAGTAAATTCATATATGTAATTTAGGTAAATCATTCTTTCGACTCATGTCACGTATTTTGGAATTCATATAGTGAGGAAACAGGATTGTCATAATGAAATGTACACTTCTAGAAATGCAACATGATATTGCTGAAACTGTTAGAAATCTGAATATAGGCCAGGCATGGTGGCTCACACCTGTAATGCCGTAGTACTTCGGGAGGCCAAGGCAGGCAGATTGCCTGAGGTCAGGAGTTCAAGACCAGCCTGACTAACATGGTAAAACCCTGTCTCTACTAAAAATACAAAATTACCCGGGCATGGTGGCACGTGCCTGTAATCCCAGCTACTTGAGAGACTGAGGCAGGAGAATTGCTTGAACCCTGGAGGTGGAGGCGGAGGTTGCAGTGAGCCGAGATCACGCCATTGCACTCCAACCTGGGCAACAAGAGCGAAACTCTGTCTCAAGGAAAAAACCAAAAAACTCATGAGTATAAAACACAGTGTATAATCCCAGGAGCTGGTTCTTGATTAGATCATTTTTCCTTCAGAAAACGATTTGAACAGCAACAAAAACTCTTAGAAGAAGAACGAAAAAGGCGCCAGTTTGAAGAGCAGAAGCAAAAGCTCAGACTTCTGAGCAGTGTGAAACCCAAGGTAGTATTTCAATACTTCTCACCCAGAGCATACACACCCTGAATTTGCTGCTTCTCACTCATTCAATGGATTTCCTGACTGGGGCACCAGCCCAAGCTGAGGCTGTGATTGATTCTTTCCATCTTAGTTTATCTAATTCCTAATGTGAAGGATTTTTCATTTTCTGTAAAGATACATTGTTGTTAATGAGAATAGGGTATCAGCCATTATCTTCTCAGCTCTTTTTTGGTATCAGGGCAGTTTGTAATCTTTTTCGTGGGAAACAGTAATCCTGAATTCAGTAATATTTCGTATTTCCCTTAGAGCCTTCATAGGACACTTAATATCAAACAGGTCTATCCTAAAGTATTTATAAATTGGCCCTTTAATGTTTTTATTTTCTTTGGAGTGTCATTTTGTGTCATTGTTTAATCATTTAGCAATGTCTTTTTGACTTGGAGAATTCATTATCAGAAGTGTGTGGTAAAAATATTGGAAATAGATGAATATCTATGCTTTTCTTAATTTGAGAGGGTTTAAGACACAGTAAGGGTTAAGTAAAGAAATACACATAATTTGTTGTCTCTTAGACAGGAGAGAAGAGTAGAGATGATGCTTTGGAAGCCATAAAAGGAAACTTAGATGGATTTTCCAGAGATGCAAAAATGCACCCGACTCCAGCATCGCACCCCAAGAAACCAGGTAGTTTTAAGAGGCATTACATTTTTCTTTTCTTGGAAGGTGGTTTATGTAGTCCCTGTTTGTTTACCTGGCCATTATATGTGTGTGTAAAAAGTCAATGCAGAACTCTTCCTTCAAGCTGAGTACAGATTTGGATGTTCTCAAATGTACAGTGGCTTAAGAGCTCTAGTCTGGATGACAACTGTCTTGGGAGGAAAAAAACCTCTTTGTCCTTTAATTAAATGTCACTATGATCATTTCACCTGTAAGTTTTCTGTATATAAATATGTAAATATTAGTAAAACCTATTTACTCAGAGCAAATGTGATAAAGGAGTTTGCCATTTAATTCTCATTGTTTTATAGTAACTTTCATGAGCTAGTTCTGAATTCATTATTTAATGTGATGAAACTTAAAATTCTTAAAATGCCTCATTTTAAAAATCATAGGTATTACAATCTCATGAAATTCTAGTTTCTCTAATGCAGTTCTTTGTAGTTTTTAATCAACATTTATTGTCAGGTATGCAAAAAGAAATGTGCCTATTTAGAGCAGGGTAAAGGGATTTGGGCGAGGAGGTGGTTGTTCTTTTGAACACTTAGCAGTTGAAATGAGTCTCGTCTTTGCATAATTGTTACCACATTCTTTTTAAAAATTCAACATTTCAGGCCAGGCACCATGGCTCATGCCTGTAATCCCAGCACTTTGGGAGGCAGAGACAGATAGGATCACTTGAAGTCTGGAGTTCAAGACCAGCCTGGCCAACGTGGTGAAACCCTGTCTCTTAAAAATACAAAAATTAGCTGAGCATAGTGGTGTAAGCCTGTAGTCCCAGCTACTCAGGAGACTGAGGCACGAGAATCGCTTGAACCTGGGAGGCAGAGGTTGCAGAGAGCTGAGATCGTGCCACTGCACTCCAGCCTGGGTGACAGGGAGACTCAGTCTAAAAATAAATAATAATAAATGTGAAAAAGTAACAATAAAATAGTATTATTAATGAGCTTCATATTAAATGTAGCTTCTGTAGAACAGGTTTATTATAAGTAAATGTCAATAAAAAGCCATAGTGCTTTTTTTTTTTTTTTTTTTTTTTTTGAGATGGATTTTCACTCTTGTTACCCAGGCTGTATCGTGCAATGGCGCGATCTTGGCTCACCGCAACCTCCGCCTCCTGGGTTCAGGCAATTCTCCTGCCTCAGCCTCCTGAGTAGCTGGGATTACAGGAACGCGCCACCTTGCCCAGCTAATTTTTTTTTGTATTTTTAGTAGAGACGGGGTTTCACCATGTTGACCAGGATGATCTCGATCTCTTGACCTCGTGATCCACCCGCCTCGGCCTCCCAAAGTGCTGGGATTACAGGCTTGAGCTACTGCGCCCGGTCCGCCTTTTTTTTTTTTTTTTTTTTTTTTTTTTTTGTGACAGTCTCGCTCTGGCACCACGCTGGAGTGCAGTGGCGTGATCTCGGCTCACTGCAACCTCCGTCTCCCAGGTTCAAGCAATTCTGCCTCAGCTGCCTGAGTAGCTGGGACTACAGGCGCATGCCGCCATGCCCAGCTAATTTTTGTGTGTTTTTAGTAGAGACGGGTTTTGACCATGTTGGCCAGGATGGTCTCGATTTCTTGACCTTGTGATTTGCCCACTTCGGCCTCCCAAAGTGCTGGGATTACAGGTATGAGCCACCATGCCTGGCTTATTGATTGATTGATTGATTGATGGATGGATGGATGGATGGATGGAGTCTCGCTCAATCATGGAGTCACCCAAGCTGGAGTGCAGTGGCACGATTTCAGCTCACTGCCACGAACTCGGCTCACTGCCATCTCCGCCTCCCAGGTTCAAGTGATTCTCCTGCTTCAGCCTTCCAAGTAGTTGGGACTATAGGTGCATGCCACCACGCCCAGCTGATTTTTGTATTTTTAGTAGAGATGGGGTTTCACCATGTGAGCGAGGATGGTCTCGATCTCCTGACCTTGTGATCCACCCACTTCAGCCTCCCAAAGTGCTAGGATTACAGGCATGAGCCACTGCACCCGGCTGACATTTATATCTTTTAGTGCCAAAGATCTTTTAAAGGTAGTCTTCAGGAGGGATTTGCTTTCTTAAATTGACTATAGTTGTTTGATTCAGCACTTTATGATATCCTAATGTTGATACTTTTCACAAGAAAATATCATCTTAGTAATGTGTTTAATGTTCTTGTCTTGGCTGGGTGTGGTGGCTCATGCCTGTAATTCCAGCACTTTGGGAGGCCAAGGTGGGTGGATCACTGAGGTCAGGAGTTTGAGACCAGCCTGGCCAATATGGTGTATCTCTGTCTCTACTAAAAATACATAAATTAACCAGGTGTGGTGGTATGCACCTGTAGTCCCACCTACTTCAGAGACTGAGCCAGAAGCATCGCTTGAACCTGGGAAACCAAGGAGAGGTTGCAGTGAGTCGATATCACGCCATTGCACTCCAGCCTGGGCATCGCAGTGAACCTCTGTCTCCAAAAAAAAAAAAAAAAAGTTCTTGTCTTTTGTAATTTTTATTACTCATATGGTAACTGTACTGAAATATGATGTATGCAAATGTGTGGATCAGACATATTTCAAAAATTACAAGTTTGTATTGTGCATTATTTCTTTCTGAATTTCTTAGTAAATCATGGAATTTAGTCATCATAGTATATATCTGTCCAAAATTTATTCAGTACTGTATCAGTAGGTTTTCTTATATCTGATGTATATTGGTTTGAGATAACATTATCTAGATAAATAGATCATTTTGACTTCAAAAATAATCATCACTTTGATGTAAATCATTAATGGTCTCGGGGAAAATTATTGATCTAATGAAAGAAAGACAGTCAAGCCAGGAGTTTGAGACCAGCCTGGGCAATATAGTGAGACACCATCTCTATGAGGAAAAAAAAAAAAAGGAAAGAATTAGCTGGGCATGGTGGCATGTGCTACTCAGGAGGCTGAGGCTCGAGGATTGCTTGAGCCAAGGAGTTTGAGGCTGTTATGATCATGAGCTATGAGCATGCCACAGCACTTCAGCCTAGGTGATAGAGCAAGAACCTGTCTCTAAAATAAATGAATAGATACATACAATTTTAGTTTTGCCTTTTTTTTGGACCAAATGCAAAATAGCTATTAAAACTCCCCTTTAACAAGACATAAAATTGTGTGTGAATAGACATCAAAGTGTTTTACCTGCATCATATAATTCCATTTGACCATTGTTACTTGTTATTGCTTGTTCACCTCCACTATTTATGTTTCAGTATATTCTTTCAGAATTGCACTACATCTGAATTTCTTTTTCTCTGTTGGTTTCCGTTTTTGTGTGTTTCATTGCCATTTTCCGTTTTGCAGATTGTCCCACATCTCATGCTACTAAAACTGTCTTCCCATCACCTGCCTTTCTCGACCAAGAAGAATTCAGTGACTTTATGCAGGGGCCTGTTGAAGTGCCCCCGTGCGGGCCTTCTGCCATGTCCCAGCCCTTTCAGTCTCTCCACCCCTCCACCCCACTTGGCCAGCTGCATGCACAGAAGGCTGGGACACAGCCCCTCCCTCCAGATCACAGTCCAGTGCCTTTTGCCTTACATGGTGTCCCTGAGCAAATTTCTTACTTCTCTACTGCTTCAACCTCACACAATATACCGAAAGCAGGTAACTCTTAGCATTATTAATGAAAATATTCTTCAGATACCCTGGCATAACTTATATCTCTTATATAAGTAGAATAATCTAGTGATGTTGGCAAAGGTGTACATGAATGTATGACTGCTGTTGAAATTCAGCAATTAAGAGTCTAGACTTTTAAGTTCTGGGGTCGTCACATTCCAGAAAGGTGATTTAAAACTTTTGCTCCTCAACTAGGAGCAATTTAAACTGCCATATAACTTTAAAAGGAATCTCCTGATTTTTCCAGAAGATTGTTGTTTGGGAGATTCACCAGTATCATTTTCTTAAGATGAAGGAGCTAGGAAAGGCTTTTTTAGATAGTGTTCTTTCTGGTTCAGTGACAGAGCACTTGGGTGCAAAAGCCCAGGCTGTTCATTTACTATCAGTTTGTCCTTGGTCTGCATTAGATTTTGTCATCTATAAAATGAATAGAGACAGCTACACATCCTGGCTTGAGACAGTGCTGGAAGGAATCTTGGCAGACATGTACTTAGTCCAGACTTTCTCATTTGACGGACATAGGAACAGCGCAAGAGATGATGATGGCGTTACTGGCCAGAGGCCTCCCTAGGAGTTAGTGAAACTGTTAGCTTATGTAGATTGTCAGATTTCAAAGGTAGTGCTCCTTCCACTTCACTCTTCCACCTACTGTCTCATAGAATTCTTTAGAATCACAGTAGGATAATTATGTTTAAGTTCTCTGAAATCTCTAAAGTCTCTCAAGTCCTATACAGATGTGTGGTGACTGAATTATTTCAGTGTTTACATTATATGTGGCAGAGCCTTCCCTCTAGTATATGGGGATGAGGTGGGCACCGTGGCTCACGTGTGTAATTCCAGGGAGGCTAAGGTGGGCAGATCACCTGAGGTCAGGAGTTGCAGACCAGCCTGGCCAACATGATGAAACCTTGTCTCTACTAAACACGAAAATGAGCCGGGTGTGATGGCGGGCACCTATACCCAGCTACTCAGGAGGCTGAGGCAGGAGAATCGCTTGAACCTGGGAGGCTGAGGTTGCACTAGTACAATCTACAATTTTTCTTTGAGACTCCGTCTCAAGAAAAAAAGAACGTGGGGGTAGAGATGGATGATTGAGAAGATTAGACATATACAGTTATATACAAATAATCCTTCATGCTGTTTGTTTAGGCCCTTCCTTGGAGGAGAAGCTCCTAGTATCTTGTGATATAAGTACATCTGGGCAGGAACAAATAAAATTAAATACCTCTGAAGTTGGCCACAAAGCCCTAGGCCCAGGTTCCAGTAAGAACCATCCCAGTTTAACGGCCAGTAATGGGGGTGCTGTAGATGGATGTGTAAGTGGTACCACCACTGCCGAGGCAGAAAAGACTTCAGATCAAAACCTGTCAATTGAAGAGAGTGGTGAGCTCGTGAAACATTCAGCAAAAAACTTGTTTAACCAAACGTTGCTCAGATGCTAACACCTTAAGCATTAATCTTCAAATGTATGCTGCTTGATTTTGCTAATCGAAATTTTGCTTGAAATAATGTTTAATGTGTTCCTTTCTCCAATTAACCCCTAAGATTTTGCTCTGAATTCTTTCAACACACTGTTACTCTTTTTTAAAAATGATTTTGATAACTGGTTTTCTGAATTGGAATCATTTCTGATTTAAAATTTTCTTTCCTTTTATTTTATAAAAGCTCTCTTTTTCCCCCCCTTATACTTTCTCTTCTTCCATAGAGGTCGTAAAGTTAAAATACAACTGGAAAAGTCACCAATGAGAATATACTTTTGCTTTTTCTAAAATAAACCATATGCACCACTGCCTAAAAGATGTAAATTTTATAAATTCAACCCTCAGAAATAAATTAGAATGTAGGCAGCCTAGGAGGCAAACTTTTGCAGGATATTTTACTGGACAAAAAAACCCAAAAGTCCTGTATATTTGAGAGCAGTATCATATGGAGGTTAAAAAAAAAAAAAAATGCTGCAAGTAAAGCTTGGACAATTAAATCTTTTTAATTTACATTTATCTGATACAGTTTTAAACTATCATCTATCATGGTTTTTTCCCCTTAATTTGTAACACATGTTAAGTGGTGCTAGGCTGATATGATTCAGAATATTGATTTGATACATTTTAGTTTTTGTATAATTCACTCTTTAGAACAGTTAGCGTACAAGAGTTGCTTAGAAACCAAATAATTTTATTCTGGATCAGAGGGCAGGGTACCAAATATTTAATTGTATTGGTGACTTTTTGAGTAGTGCTGTGTATAAAGAACATGACTCACTGTGATTTCCCCATCTTCTCCCTGGACCACTGTATACATTAACGTTTCTTATCTTCTAGGTGTGGGAGTATTTCCCTCACAGGATCCTGTGCAGCCCAGAATGCCTCCTTGGATTTACAATGAGAGTTTGGTTCCAGGTAAAAAAGCTGCTTTGCCTAGGATTCCCATCTGGATATTTTGCTTTAAATATTGTAAATGTAGTTGTAACTGTTTACTGTTGTAGTTACAAAATATGCAGAAGGAATTGTCTCTTTTTTCTAAAAGAGCACAGAAATTAAATAAATGTCGTGTTTCATAAGACTGCCTCATATATGGAATAACTATATAAATGAAGGAGAATAGTTTTGTTTTAATGTTTTATTAACCATCATACTTTTATTTTTAAAAGCTTCCTTAGATTTATCATGCCTTAATGGACATTATCAAATATTTACTTCAGCAATTATCAAGAATTTTGCTAAAATATGTAATGTAATTTTCTGAATTCTTCGTTTATATTTTTAAAAATATACTTTCTATGACTTGTTTGTAATATCATATGAAGTAAAAGACCATGTTGCATCTTTTTTTCCACACTGGAAGATGTTCAAGATGATACTTACTTTTTTTTTTTTGAGACAGAGTTTTTGCTCCTGTTACCCAGGTTGGAGTGCAATGGCGCGATCTCGGCTCACCACAGCCTCCGCCTCCTGGGCTCAGGGAATTCTCCTGCCTCAGCCTCCTGAGTAGCTGGGATTACAGGCATGCACCACCATGCCCAGCTAATTTTTTGTATTTTTAGTAGAGACGGGGTTTCACCATGTTGACCAGGATGGTCTACAATCTCTTGACCTGGTGATCCACCCACCTCGGCCTCCCAAAGTGCTAGGATTACAGGCGTGAGCCACCGTACTTTTTTTTTTTTTTTTTTTTTGTGATGGAGTCTCATTCTGTCACCCAGGCTGGAGTGCAGTGGCATGATCTCAGCTCACTGCAGCCTCTGCCTCCTGAGTTCAAGCCTCAGTCTCTCCTGCCTCAGCCTCCAGAGTAGCTGTAGGCATGTGCCACCACACCTGGCTAATTTTTTTGTATTTTTAGTAGAGACGGGGTTTCACTATGTTGGCCAGGCTAGTCTTGAACTCCTGACCTTGTGATCTGCCCACCTCAGCCTCCCAAAGTGCTGGGATTGCAGGCATGAGCCACCATGCCTGGCTGCATTTTTTTTTTTTTTTTTTAGACAAGATCTTTCTCTGTCACCCAGGCTGGAGTGCAATGGCATGATCTTGGCTCACTGCAGCCTTGACCTCCCCAGACTCAGGCAGTCCTCACACCTCAGCCTCTCAAGTAGCTGGGACTACAGGCATGTGGCACTATGCCCAGTGAATTTTTGTATTTTTTGTAGAGACAGGGTCTTTCCATGTTGCTCATACTGGTCTCAAACTCTTGGGCTCGAGTAATCTGGCTGCCTCAGTCTCCCAAAGTACTGGGATTATAGGTGTGAGCCGCTGCACCTGGCCTGCTTTTTCTTTACGTATATTTTTACTGCTGAGCCAAAAAGAAAAGAAAAAAAAAATACTTGGTTGGGTGCGGTGGCTCACGCCTGTACTCCCAGCTACTCAAGAGGCTGAGTCAGGAGAATCTCTTGAACCCGGGAAGTGGAGGTTGCAGTGAGCCAAGATGATGCCACTGCACTCCAGCCTGGGCGACAGAGTAAGACTCTGTCTCAAAAAAAATATATATCCTGAAAATGCATTTTCTTCTTTACAAAAGTTTTTAATTTTTATGGTTGTATGGTAAGTATATATTTTATGGGACACATAAGATACTTGGATACAGACGTACAATTTGTAATAATCACATTAGGGTAGATAGGGTATCCATTACCTCAAGCATGTATCACTTTGTTATGAGCATTCCAATTATACTCTTTAAACTATTTTAAGTGTACAATAAGTTACTGTTGACTGTAGCTACCTTGCAGTGTGCTATCAAATACAAGCTCTTACTCCTTCTATCCAGCTATATTTTTGCACCTATTCCCGCATCCCCAGTACCCTTCTCAGCCTCTGGAAACCATCATTCTGTTCTTTATCTCCATGGGTTCAGTCGTTTTAATTTTTAGCTTCCATAAGTGAATGAACATATGTGAAGTTTGAATTTCTATGCCTGGCTTATTTTCACTTAGCATAATGTCCTCCAGTTCCAACCATGTTGTTGGAAATGACAGGATCTCATTTTTAAAAAATTCTCATTAGGGCTGAATTGTGCTCTGTTGTATCTATACACCACATTTTCTTTATCCATTTATCTGTCCATGGACACTTAGGTTGCTTCTGAATGTTGATTTACAGGTTAGTACAGCCACTGTGGAGAAACCTTTATACTGTTCTCCATGGTGGCTATACTAATTTACATTTCTACCAACAGTGTATGAGGGTTCCCTTTTCTCCACATCCTCACCAGTATTTGTTATTGCTTGTCTTTTGGATAAAAGCCATCCTAAGTGGGGTGAGATGATACCTGACTGTACTTTTGATTGACGTTTCTCTGAGGATCAGTGATGTTGAGCACCTTTTCATGAACCTGTTTGCCGTTTGCATGTCTTCTTTTGAGAAACGCCTATTCAGTTCTCTCTTCCATTTTTTAATCAGATTATTAGTTGTTTGTTTTTGTTTGTTTTTTTCTACTGAGTTGTTTGAGCTTCTTCTATATTCTGGTTATTAATCCCTTGTCAGATGTATAGTTTGCAGATATTCTTTTCCCACTTTGTGGGTTGTCTGTTCATTTTGTTGATTGTTTCCTTTGCAATGCGAAAGCTTTTAAACTTGATGTGATTCCATTTGTCCATTTTTGCTTTGGTTGCCTTTCCTTTTTGGTTACTACTCAAGTATTTGCCCAGGCCAATGTCCTGGAGACATTGTCTCCCCTTTTCTTTTGAGTAGTTTCATAGTTTCTGGTCTTAGATTTAAGTCTTTAATTCATTTTGATTTGATTTTTGTATTTGGTGTGGGGTGGGTTCAAGTTTTATTCTTCTGCATACGGATGCCTGTTTTTCCCAGCACCATTTATTGAAGAGACCCTCCCCAATGTATGTTCTTGACACCTTTCTGAAAAATAAGTTTAATGGAGATGTGTGGATTTATTTCGGGGTTCTGTATTCTGTTCCCGTGGTCTCTGTGTCTCTCTTTATGCCATTACTATGCTGTTTTAGTTACTATAGCTTTGTAGTATAATTTGAAGTCAGGTGATAGACAGTAATGGGCCATAATTCCTCCAGTTTTGTTATTTTTGCTCAGGATGGCTTTGGCTATTCTGGGTCCATACAAATTTTAGGATTATTTTTTCTGTTTCTGTGAAAAACATAATTGGTATTTGATAGGGATTGCATTTAATCTGTACGACACATTGCTTTGGGTAGTATGGACGTTTGAAAAACATTGATTCTTCCAAAACACGAACATGGAATATTTCTCTGTTTTTATGTCCCTTTCAATTTCTTGCATTAATGTTTTATAGTTTTCATTCAAATTCATTTTCTGACAGTACTCATAATGACAAAAGGCTGGTCGTTCCCAAAATCATACGTACAATTCAGTTGAACATAAAAATAACGGCTTTTCTTGCAACTGACTATTAGGCAGTTTGCATCTTTTCTTCTTCTCTGTCCTCAAGCCAAACAAGTGAAATCTAGATCTTGGTATATGTTGCAGTTTTATCCATTTTCTGCCAGTTTGTATTGCTTTCTCTCCTCCTCCTTTCAAACATAACATGCACGCATACTTTCTAGCGAAAATATGTGTTCTTTTTTCTTTTCTTTTGAGATGGCGTCTCACTCGGTCACTCAGGCTGGGGTGCAGTGGTTCGATCTTGGCTGCAACCTCCGCCTCCCAGGTTCAAGCAATTCTCCTGCCTCAGCTTCCCAAGTAGCTGGGATTACAGACGTGTACCATGATGCCCAGCTAATTTTTTTGTATTTTTAGCCACCATATTGTCTAGGCTGGTTTTGAACTCCTGACCTTGTGATCTGCCCGCCTTGGCCTCCCAAAGTGCTGGCATTACAGGCGTGAACCACCGTGCCAGACCAAAATATGTGTTCTTATAGAGAGCCCACTAACCTCTACTCCATACGCGTAATCCCAGACGTAAACTTTTTGTTTTAAATATTTTTCTGTCTCCTTTAGCCCTACTTACTTTTGTTTCTCTTACTAAGCTTGCTAGATTTAGTAAGTAACTATACAGAATGCCCAGTTAAATTTGAATTTCAGGTCAACAGCAAGTGATTTTTTTAGTATAAGTGTGTCTCATGCAGTATTGGCATTATTTTTGCCCTGTCTCTAACAACATTTCCGACTTGGTCCTTTGGAAAATTCATGTTACTGTCAAAAACTCACCAACTGTACCTGCCTTTTTAAGACGTTTGTTCTGCTTCTTCACCCTGACCGAAACCAGGTCTTTCCTTGAAGGCTGTATTTCAGTGGTTTCTCCGTAGTTTCTTCAGCAGTTTATCTCACAACCTCTAATTTACTGGAAAGAGTGATGTTGGTGTAATTCTTACTTCCTATTGCTATTTTCAAACTGTTCCCACCATCATTACTCTACAGCTTCTCTTGAAAAGTCCAAAGCGCTGTCTCGTTATAGTCTTCTACTGAATTATAAGACTTTGTCTTACCTCTAGCCTTAAACCTTATCTTTAGTACCAAGCTCCAGACTCTTCTAGGCTCCAGACTCTAGTTGTCTGCTGGACATTTCCACTTGGATATTACAAATATATATATATTTGTAATGGAGTCTTACTCTGTTGCCCAGGCTGGAGTGCAGAGTGCAGAGGCACGATCTTGGCTCACTGCAACCTTCGTCTCAGGGTTCAAGCAATTATCCTGCCTCAGCTTCCCAAGTAGCTGGGACTACAGGCACATGCCACCATGCCCGGCTAATTTTTGTACTTTTAGTGGAGATGGGATTTCACCATGTTGTCTGGGTTAGTCTCAAACTCCTGACCTCAGATGATCCGCTGGCCTCAGCCTCCCAAAGTGCTGAGATTATAGGCATGAGCTACATGCCCAGCCACACTTGAATGTATTTAAAGCAATTTAAACTTGGTTCTGTTAAAGCATTTTGAAAATTATTCTTGTATACCAACAATGGCACCCCCAAAACTGAATCACTTGTGATGTGTTTCCATTTGTAATCTGGTCTTCCCTTTGATAGATGCCTATAAGAAAATCTTAGAAACCACAATGACTGCAACTGGAATAGATACTGCTAAACTGTATCCCATTCTGATGTCATCTGGACTTCCCAGGGAAACTCTTGGGCAGATATGGGCCTTCGCTAATCGAACTACACCTGGCAGACTTACGAAAGAAGAACTTTATACCGTTCTCGCCATGATAGCAGTGACACAGGTAAACTGTGTGTTGTCTTTTTTTTTGAGACAGAGTCTCACTCTGTCACCAGGCACTAGGCTGGAGTGCAGTGGCACAATCTCGGCTCACTGCAACCTCCGCCTCCTGGGTTCAGGCAGTTCTCCTGCCTCAGCCTCCCAAGTAGCTGGGACTACAGGTGCACGCCGCCACGCCCAGCTACTTTTTTGTATTTTTAGGAGAGATGGGGTTTCACCACGTTGGCCAGGATGGTCTCGATCTCTTGACCTTGTGATCCGCCCGCCTCGGCCTCCCAAAGTGCTGGGATTCCAGGCTTGAGCCACTGCGCCCGGCCAAAACTGTGTTTCTTAAGTTAGATCAAATAACGTTATTAATATAAATTAATATAAATTTACCACGTTGTATAACTCCTGGTACATTAAAATTTGATCATTTTCAGTTTATAGTACTTGAAAAATGTACAGTTTATATGATGCACATAATAGTAAATTATTTGTTTAAAGACTTATGTTTTGTTTTTGAGACCGAGTCTCACTCTATTGCCCAGGCTGGAGTACAGTGCCTGCTACTACGCCTGGCTAATTTTTATATTTTTAGTAGAGACGGGGTTTCACCATGTTGGTCAGGCTGATCTTGAACTCCTGACCTCAAGTGATCCACCCGTGTCGACCTCCCAAAGTGCTGCGATTACAGGCGTGAGCCACAGTGCCCAGCTAAAGACTTTTATATATATTAACATTTTCTGAACTTGAAAGTTAGTCAGTGATAGCTGAAATTACTGTCTCTTGAAGTCCTTGTCTAAAATTTCATACATATAGATAAAGTATTCTCAGTCTGGTAGCAGTTTTTCTTTTATTGCAAAGTCATTTTATTTTTTATTTTTTATTTTTTTTGAGACTGAGTTTTGCTCTTGTTACCCAGGCTGGAGTGCAATGGCACGATCTCGGCTCACCGCCACCTCCGCCTCCTGGGTTCAGGCAATTCTCCTGCCTCAGCCTCCTGAGTAGCTGGGATTACAGGCACGCACCACCATGCCCAGCTAACTTTTTGTATTTTTAGTAGAGACGGGGTTTCACCCTGTTGACCAGGATGGTCTTGATCTCTTGACCTTGTGATCCACCTGCCTCGGCCTCCCAAAGTGCTGGGATTACAGGCTTGAGCCACCGCGCCCGGCCTGCGAAGTCATTTTAAATGCTTTGATCATAAAGAATTAACCAAACTTGTTAGAAAAAGTGTCAGAACTGATGTATGTTGGCCATTTCTTTGTTAAATATTAGGTTTGTATTGATTGACCTTGTAACTTTTTTCTTGTATCAAATTCATGAGTTTTGAGAGTGAGAGTGGAAACACACAAAGCTGCAGATTTTTACCTTTCTGTCTCTTTGCCAGATTTCTATCATCCGTGGTTTACAAACCCCTAATCCATTTTCCTTCTGTCATTTGTAGAGGGGTGTTCCTGCAATGAGTCCTGATGCTTTAAACCAGTTCCCAGCAGCTCCTATTCCAACTTTAAGTGGTTTTTCTATGACTCTGCCTACACCAGTGAGTCAGACAACTGTGATACCGTCAGGCCCTGCGGGCTCCATGCCCCTCAGCCTTGGACAGCCAGTCATGGGCATTAACCTTGTTGGACCAGTGGGTGGAGCTGCAGCCCAGGCTTCTGGTGGTTTCCTGCCAACTTACCCTGCAAATCAGGTAAATGGAGAAGCTGTGCATATTTCAAATAATCCCTCAAGGTGAATCTGGGCACCTTTTTTTCCAGGGATACATAGAGTAGGTTGCCGGCTTATGGGGAGCACATTTAAATTCTTAGGTTCTATCTTTCAGGAAAACTGCTAAATCCGAAATTAAAATACTTCAGTTTTTCACTTCCTAGATTAGCAAAAATGTTTTAAGTATATAATATTTAGTGTTATTGAAAATTGCTGGGCATAGTGGCTCATGCCTGTAATCCTAGCACTTTGGGAGGCTGGGGCAGGCAGATCACCTGAGGTCAGGAGGTTGAGACCAGCCTGACCGACATGGAGGAACCCCATCTCTACTGAAAATAGAACATGAGTCAGACATGGTGGCACATGCCTGTAATCCCAGCAACTCGGGAGGCTGAAGCAGGAGAGTCACTTAAACCTGGGAGGCAGAGGTTGCGGTGAGCCAAGATCGAGTCATTGCACTCCAGCCTGGGCAACAAGAGTGAAACTCCATCTCAAAAAAGAAAGACCTGGGTTTGGTCTTTATGCTGCCACTCACTGTCTACAAGTCTTTAGATGAGTTACTTAACCTTGTTGTGTCCCATTGGCTCATTTTGGGCTGAGTGTGGTGGCTTATGCCTGTAATACCAGCACTTTGGGAGGCTGAGGCCAGTGGATCACAAGGTCAGGAGTTCAAGATCAGCCTGGCCAACATGGTAAAACCCTGTCTCTACTGAAAATACAAAAATTAGCCGAGTGTGGTAGCACGTGCCTGTAGTCCTAGGTATTTGGGAGGCTGAGGCAGGAGAATCGCTTGAACCTGGGAGGCAGAGGTTGCAGTGAGCTGAAATCGCGCCAGTGCATTCCAGCCTCGGTGACAGAGTGAGACTCGGTCTCAAAAAAGAAAAAAAAGAAAATGCAGGATAAACATAACTAATACACTCTAGGCTTATTGTTACAGACTTGTTGAAAGGCAGACTTGGCAATAACTATCAAAATTCTACATGTCCAGCTGGGCATGGTGGTGTATACCTGTAGTTCCAGCTACTCTGGAGGCTGAGGCAGGAGGATCATATAAGACCAGGAATTCAAGTCTGCGGTGAGCTATGATTATGATCACACCATTACACTTGAGCTTGGCAACAGAGGGAGACCCTGTTTAAAACGAAACAAAACAAATACCTCAGCATATATATATCTTCTGTCCCAGCAGTCATTAGACATAATTAGACATTATTAGAAATCTGTCCCAAGAAATAGTAACTCAAATTAGCAAAGGCATGCAAGAATTTGTTTTGTAACATTGTTAGAGTAAAAAGTAAAAGAAGAAGAAAAAAACCGGGGAGAAAGGTTAAATAAATTTTAGTTCATCCACACAGTGGTAAACTAATCATTAAACTGAATGAGATAGATCTACATGTACTGCATGGAGATGTGTCTTTGTTATATAGTTAAAGTATAGAGCAATATAGTGTAAGCTGACTTTTTTTTTTTTTAAAAAACAAATGAGCTGTTAGCAGTACTTCTGGAGTGTGGGATTAGGAGTCATTGTTCACTTTTTATACATGTATGTGATTGGTTATGAGCTTGTGTCATAACCAATAATTTGCAAACATGCATGATATGTCTATATGACTTTTTTTTTTTTTGACCTTTTCTATGTATTTATTTGAGATGAGTCTTGCTGTGTCGCCCAGGCTGGAGTGCAGTGGCATGATCTTCGCTCACTGCCGCCTCCGCCTCCCAGGTTCAAGCCATTCGCCTGCCTCAGCTTGCCAGCTAGCTGGGACTACAGGTGCCCGCCACCACATCCAGCTAGATACGTCTTTTAAAGATGGTAGGCGCTCAGTAACCCAATGAAATTCAGCTATTTTAAAAATGTATAGATTATCTTTTTTTTTTTTTTTTTTTAAGAGTCACCCAGGCTAGAGTACAGTGATGTGATCTTGGTTCACTGCAACCTCTGCCTCCTGGGTTCAAGGTATTCTCCTGCCTCAGCCACCCATGTAGCTGAGTCTACAGGCTCATGTCACCACGCCCAGCTAATTGTGTATTTTTAGTAGAGACAGGGTTTTGCCATGCTGGCCAGGCAGGCTGGTCTCAAACTTCTGACCTCAGGAGATCTGCTGGCCTCCACCTCCCAAAGTGCTAGGATTACAGGTGTGAACTACTGGGCCTGGCCTAGATTAGCTATTTAAACCAGTCTTTTACCATTTGTACCAGAGAGTATCTAAAATTACAAAATAGGATTCCGGCCTTAAGCACTTGAGTTAATGTACCTAAACTCAGAAATTTTAAAGGCAGTCTTTTGAGATTGACTCTTGGAGATTTGTTGTGTATTTATTTTACCAGTCAGTGCTATTTATTTAAATGTCCTTTATAAACCTAGGTAGTAAAGCCAGAAGAAGACGACTTCCAGGATTTTCAAGATGCTTCTAAGTCAGGATCCCTTGATGACTCATTCAGTGATTTCCAAGAGTTGCCTGCTTCTTCAAAAACAAGTAACTCCCAGCATGGAAATAGGTAGAAAAGAGTTTGATATATTTAATATTGTATTTAATCGTTAAGAAAGAGGCATCCATAATAAGAAGGCTAGGTGTGAGGAATTTTAAAAATTAAATTTTACTCTGCAAACTTCTCTCCCCTTTGTCCACCTCAAACTTCAGCTCCTCCTGTTTCCTCCCGATACACACCTGCCTGCCAATACTCTTTTTAACCTGTGCCAAACCTGCATTATAGCTAAGAGCACCTGTGCAGGGATGTTCCTGTATTAAAAGGCAGGTCTTCAACTGTTGAAAAGTTTTTTAGGCAGGAGCACATAATATTTACATTTTTGTAATGTAATGTACTGTTGCTTTTCCACAGAACTATAATTCAGAACTCTAAATTATCATATTTATTCACATTTCTTGTGTATTTGACATCAGTGTCTTTTAAGCCTTCAGATTTCTGTTGTTTGCATAGACAGCTGCATAAACATTTGTCTAAGGTTTTAAACACCACCTTAACCTTCAACCTCCTGGGCATAGTGGCACATCCCTGTATTCCCAGCTGTCCCAGCTACTTGGGATGCTGAGGCAGGAGAATCACTTGAACCCAGGAGGTTGAAACTGCAGTGTGCTGTGATTATGCCACTGCACTCCAGCCTGGCGGCAGAGCAAGACGCTGTCTCAAAAAAAAAAAAAGGTAAAAATAAAAATTCACAGAGGTTAATGTATAGGAGTTTGGAGTTGGTTAGTTTATTTTGCTGAGATCAAAATATTTCTTTTGAAATGTAGATATTGCCAGGCTCAGTGGCTCATGCCCGTAATCCCAGCACTTTGGGAGGCCGAGGCGGGTGGATCACGAGGTCAAGAAATCAAAACCATCCTGGTCAACATGGTGAAACCCCGTCTCTACTAAAAATACAAAAAATTAGCTGGGCATGGTGGTGCGTGCCTGTAGTCCCAGCTACTCAGGAGGCTGAGGCAGGAGAATTGCCTGAACCCAGGAGGCGGAGGTTGCGGTGAGCCGAGATCACGTCATTGCACTCCAGCCTGGGTAACGAGCAAAACTCTGTCTCAAAAAAAAAAAAAGAAATGTATATGTTTAGCAGGGTAAGCAACTAAATAAAACTATCTACCACAGTCATGTGGAGTGATTGTAAAACATTAATAGATTCACTAGAGAAAATGCAAAATACTTTTTACTTTTCAGTAGAATACAGGTTCTTAAATATAAAATAAATATGCCTTTCTCCCTTGAGTATTTTCATTATACGAAAGGGTAGAAATAACTTTTCATGTTTGGAACAGATGCTAACTGTATGTAACTGACAAACACTTTCACAGTGACTACAGTGGTTTTTTAAAATAATAAGAGAACTGGAATGAAATACTCACTTGCAGTGTGCGTAAAAATTACATTCTGAGTCATACTGTGAATGGAATTTTGTTGACTATAATCAGCAAGAAGTAGTTTATTACCCTAAAGATCTTTTTTTTTCAATTCTGTGAATATAATTTTAAAATCAATAAGTAAGTGTCACATTTAGTAGAAAGATTTTTACCGTTGAGCTGTAAATGGCCATTGCTAAAGTTGGAGGGGTCACGAAAAGTAAATCATTCAACTTTTTGGGTTTTTTTCCCCTTAAAATGTTAATTGCCTTTATTCCCATGTAATATTCTGTACGGTGAGCTGTACTTTAATTACTTACGGAACTTTTAAAAAGTCAACTTGCAATATATAGACGATGACATTTCATTTGTCAAGATCAGTTATAAAGCAGCTGTTTGGTGGTGATGTGAAATCATAATATTTGATGGCAATAAGTCCTAAAGGACTGTGTACCCATTAGCATGCAGCTGCCAGAGCCTAGTTTTTACCTTACTTGTAAGCCACTGATAAGAAGATTTAAATGTCTGTGGAAAGATTTTTTGCTCCAGGGCAAAGAACTCAATAGAAATCCACTTATATAACTTGTACACGGTACTGAATGACAAGAACTAGTGGTGGAATGTACTCATTCATATGTAAAGGTAGTTCTTCCAGAGAGCTGCCTGGGTCTGATAAGGGAAGAAGAAGAAGAAGAAAAAAAAAAAAGTAATGCTTTTATAGTCTGTGTTTAAGCCTTCTAAGAATTACCCATGCAGATACTACTCATTATGCTATTTTTCCATCCAGCAAGAAATATGTCCACAGGCAAAAGTATCTTTATCTAATTTTGAAGTGATTGTTGTTTTGTTACAAAGATAGCTTCTGGAACCACTGATGTGATCCTGGTAAAAATGCAAATTGTATTAACTCTGCTGCAGCTTATCAGATGTATACACTTCTGCCAGTAGGCAGTACAGTACGATCAAAAGAAGAACAATTTACGTCTTGGCTTGAACAACATTTCATAAATAGATTTTTATCTTAACTATTCTACCTCTGCACTCTGAGCCCATTGAAGATAATTTATATTAATGTTAACATGATTTATTTTAAAATATTGAGTATACATATGTGATCAGTTCACTTTTACAGTTTTATGGTCATAAAGTTAAAATTGCAGGAAGTCATCCTTTAATAATCTACTTTCAATGCCATTCCAATTGCTGTTAAGGCTTAAAGAGACACTTAGACAGTCAACATGGTTCTGGCCCTTCTTCATTTAATCAGGAAAAAAACGATTGTTCAGGTATTGTTTTTTGTCTTTTTTTTTTTTTTTTAAAGGACATTGTTTTCAATTTTGTGATATATATGTATACTGTTTAGTTTCTCACTTTTAAAGCAGAGAGCCATGAGTTTTAATGAAATACCTGTTTGCTGTTTTAATTGTAACTTCCTTTCTGATGAGAAGGGCAGAATTCCGGGTCATCAAAAGTTTCTTTTTCCCTTTAGTGCCCCTTCTTTGTTGATGCCGCTTCCTGGAACGAAAGCCTTGCCTTCAGTGGACAGATATGCTGTATTTAAAGGAATTGCGGCTGATAAGTCTTCTGAAAATACTGTTCCCCCTGGAGGTAAAAACAGTTGGTAAATTCATAAACTTGTGAATGCTAAATTGCAAAATATTTAAATTTTGTGAATCTTTAAGTGGTGGTCTTCTGTGTTAAATGTGTACAGTGCTTATACCACATGTTAAGAGTGTTTGGTTAAACCAACCTGCCTCACTTCCTGGAGTTGTGATTTCAAGATTCCTAACCTTAATTGAGCTTCGTCCTTTCTATCATAGATCCTGGTGATAAATATAGTGCTTTCAGAGAACTCGAACACACAGCAGAGAATAAACCTTTAGGTAAGTTTTTGAGTCCCTAAAAGGATAAATTATTTCCATTTTTAATTTTAAAAAATTTTTGATGGTTTTTTCAGTGGCATTCCTTTGTGTTAGTGTATGTGTGTTCAGGAGAAAAAAACTGAATGGATGAAACAATATGGTATAGGAGTGATTTTTATAATAGATAACTCAAACTGTAAGTATTCTAATTCAAAAAACCTTAATAATAGCTACTGTGTTTTAGGCCCGGTGTGGTGGCTCATGTAATCCCAGCACTTTGGGAGGCCGACGTGGGCGGATCACCTGAGGTCAGGATTTTGAGACCAGCTTGGCCACATGATGAAACCCCATCTTTCCTAAAAATGCAAAAAAGTTAGCTGGGTGTGGTGGCGCATGCTGTGGTCCCAGCTACTCAGGAGGCTAAGGCACAAGAACTGCTTGAACTCGGGGAGGCAGAGGTTGCAGTGAGCCAAGATCATGCCAATCATGCCACTGCACTCCAGCCTGGCGACAGAGTGAGACTCCATCTCAAAAAAAAAAAATCATGATAGGCACTAAATGGGGGATTATCCAGTGGAAGAGGAATAAGATTACTTCTTATGGTTCTGGAAATTACAAGGAGGGAAATGTGCTTCAGTTACTGGGAATTATTTATTCTGTAAAATGCAGAGCATGCCAGGCACAGTGGCTCATTCCTGTAATTCGAGCACTTTGGGAGGCCAGAATGGGAGGATGACTTGAGCCCAGGAGTTTGAGACCAGCCTGGGTAGCATAGTGAGACCCTGTCTCTACAAAAAAAGTAAAAAATTTAAGCCGGGCGCGGTGGCTCAAGCCTGTAATCCCAGCACTTTGGGAGGCTGAGGCGGGTGGATCACGAGGTCAAGAGATCGAGACCATCCTGGTCAATATGGTGAAACCCCGTCTCTACTAAAGATACAAAAAAATTAGCTGGGCATGGTGGCACGTGCCTGTAATCCCAGCTACTCAGGAGGCTGAGGCAGGAGAATTGCTTGAACCCAGGAGGCGGAGGTTGCGGTGAGCCGAGATCGCGCCATTGCACTCCAGCCTGGGTAACAAGAGCGAAACTCCATCTCAAAAAAAAAAAAAAAAAAAAAAAAAAAAAAGTAAAAAATTTAAAACAATACAATACAATTAGTCAAATGTGGTGGTGCTCAGCTGTGGTCCTCGCTACTTGAGAGGCTGAGGTAGGAGAAGTGCTTGAGCCTTGGAGGTCAAGGCTGCAATGAGCCATGATTGTGCCACTGTACTCCAGCCTGGGCAGCAAGCAAGACACCATCTCAATCAATCAATTAAAATAAAATAAAACAAAATAAAATTTAGGACAAATTCCAAGTCAGTGTAGTTTCTTCTGAAGATAGAACATTCCCTTTCACGGGAAACTTGCAAGACAGGCTAAATTCCCTTGTCAAGTGAGAGCTGTGGTTGCTCTGATTTATTATACTGTTCAATGAGGCTTGAAGTGTTAGCAGTAGAGCAATCTGTGGACCATAAAGGCAACAACTAGTCTTTTTTTTTTTTTTTTGAAACAGTTTTATTCTTGTCACCCAGTCTGGAGTACAGTGACATGATCTTGGCTCACTGCAACCTCCACCTCTTGGATTCAAGCGATTCTCCTGTCCCAGCCTCCCGAGTAGCTGGGATTACAGGCATCTGCCACCATACCTGGCTAATTTTCATATTTTTAGTAGAGATGAGGTTCTACCATGTTGGCCAGGCTGGTCTCGTACTCCTGACCTGAAGTGATCTGCCCACCTCAGCTTCCCAAAGTGCTGGGATTACAGACATGAGCCATTGTCACACTTGGCCAGTCTTTCACTTTTCAAGATTTTTTTTTTTTCTGTTACTGTCGCAGTACCTGGTACCATTATTATTTGTTGTTTTTTAGCTTTTCACTCATGATCTGGAAAGAAAACATTCCAGAATAGCATTATTAAAAGCAACTTGAGGCCAGACACGGTAGCTCATGCCTATAATCCCAGCACTTTGGGAGGCCGAGGCGGGCGGATCATGAGGTCAGCAGTTTGAGACCAGCCTGACTAACATGGTGAAACCCTGTCTCTACTAAAACTACAAAAATTAGCCAGACGCAGTGACACATGCCTATAATCCCAGCTACTCAGGAGGCCGAGGCAGGAGAACTGCTTGAAGCTGGGAGGTGGAGGTTGCAGTGAGCCAAGATCACACCACTGCACTCCAGCCTAGGCAACAGAATGAGACTCAAGGAAAAAGAAAAAAACTTGATTAAGGCATAGTTAATACTACATATCATGAAGCGGGTACAAGGTATTTTACATTCACAGAGTTATAATACAGTTATAATACAGTATTGTCTTACATCTATGATACTAGAGGGTACAATTAAAAAGGCATTATGTAAGATTTGATTCTACTTTTCCAGCAGAGAGTCCAAAGGATGGTATGACACAGCTCTTGTACAAAAATGCTCTTTCTTAGCTAGGATTTTCTTTCATTAGTAGCATGCTTGTAGATACTCACTTTTCTTCATGAACATCAGCTAAAAATAATTTAAAAACCAACAACCAGATGTAACATTGGATTCATAGAGAGATGACCAAGTGGGGGCAAGCAGGACTCAACCAAACTAGTATTTTACCAAATCCTTCGTGTTTGAGTGGTGAGAGCTCTGTGAAAGAAGAGAATGTCAAAGTAGCACTTCAAAACCTGGGCCACGACCCAGACACAGGATCATTTCAATCAGAAGCAGGAACCAAACAGTGCTCACTCAGTATGTTCAGGAATGCCGACGTCAATATTGAGTCACCTGCTCACTTATCCAGGAAGAATAGGTGATCAGTTACTATACTTTGCTTATGTTAAACTAAATTACCACTGTATAAGATTTTCAAGATTGGCTGTAATTTAACGAGAAAGATGAAGAGAGAGGGGTTTATATGCATGTGTGGTTACCATCTCTGATAGTAAGACTTAGAGTACAAGGGAATATAAAATGATAATTTGAGAGCTATATATGGAAAGACCTTATGTTTGTGGTGAAATCCTACTATAAACATGATGTGTAGGGTTTAGATAACCCATAGGTCAGTTTATCTCTTCCAGAGCATAACTATGCATGCCATGAAACTCTAATGAGAATTTCCTTCTGAGAATAATGCCACATTCTATCTTTATGTACTGAATGCTCGAACTTGGGACATCCTTCAACAATCTTTTGTTTCCACCCTTCTGCTAAGGGTCAGGGATAGAAAGTAGGTAGCTATGGTAGAAATTGTACTGCTTAATCATCTCTAAAAAAGGGAAGCCCACCTCTTATAAAACTATTCAGTCCCTTATAGCTGTTAGGTTCTAGAAATGCTTCCTTGTGTTTCATCCAGGCTTTTAGAACGTAATAGCTGTTTCTTCCTCAGTGCCTGTGTCAGATAGACACTAGGAGTACAGAGATAAAGTTCTGAGGGGAACTTTTGACTTGTTAGGTTTTCATTTGCACCTAGCAATGCTTTCATCAACACTTGGGCCAAGACAAGTTTGGAGTAAAGAGCACATGGTTCAACATGAAGGTTCTTGTGTAATGTGATGTTAATAACCATAATGTGTGTTTCTGTAATAGATAATAGGAAAAATGTAAGCAATAACATACCTTAGTCCTGCTTTTTCAATACCTTTTTTTTTTTTTTGAGACAATATCTTGCTCAGTCATTCAGCCTGGAGTGCAGTGGTGCAGTCATAGCTAACTGTAGCCTCCAAGTCCTGGGCTCAAGCAATTGTCCTGCCTCAGCCTCCCAAGTAGCTAGTACTGTAGATGTATACCACCACCGTGGGGTCTTGCTCTGTTGCTCAAGCTAAGCAACAGAAGGATTGCTTGAACTCCTGGCTTCAAACAGTCCTTCCAGCTCAGCAACCCACAGAACTGGGAGCCACCATGCCATCCAAATTTCAGTACTTTTTTTTTTTTTTTTTTTTTTGAGACAGAGTCTCACTGTGTCGCCAGGCTGGAGTACAGTGGTGCGATCTCAGCTCACTGCAGCCTCCACCTCCCGGGTTCAAGTGATTCCCCTGCCTCAGCCTCCCGAGTAGCTGAGACTGCAGGCACGCACCACCATGCCTGGCTAATTTTTTGTATTTTAGTAGAGACAGGGTTTCACCATATTGGTCAGGTTGGTCACGATCCCCTGACCTTGTGGTCTCCCCACCTCAGCCTCCCAAAGTGCTGGGATTACAGGCGTGTGCCACCACACCCGGCCCAAATTTTAGTACTTTTTAAACAAAGTTCCAGATTGTTGTTATTTTCATTTGCTTGCTTTCATTCCTATCTTAACTTTAATTTTAACGTCTTCCAAGTAGAGTTGCCAACTTTGTTCATTTTAGGAAATTATATTTTCTTTTCCTAAATGGTGTCATACCTTTTTTGTACTCATTAAAAAAATACATTGGCTTGACTTCATCAAAGTACATTAGTATCTTAGAATTTTTTTTTTTTTGAGATGGAGTTTTGCTCTTATTGCCCAGGCTAGAGTGCAATGGCTTGATCTTGGCTCACCAAAACCTCTGCCTCCTGGGTTCAAGCAATTTTCCTGCCTCAGCCTTCTGAATAGCTGGGATTATTGGCATGCACCACCACGCTTGGCCAATTTTTTTAATTTTTTAATAGAGACGGGGTTTCTCCATGTTAAGCTAGTGTCGAACTCCCGGCCACAGGTGATTTGCCCACCTCAGCCTCTGGGATTACAGGCATGATCCACTGCGTCAGGCCAGTATCGTAGAATTTATTAAGAATCTTACAGTATTGTGTTCAGAGCTGTAGGTTTCTTAGGTTACTGAATGACAGAGTTTAATAATATTTCCTTTTTTCCATCTTCACAGTTTAAGCCATAAATTAAAGTAAATGAGGAAAATGTTCTATATAAAGAAATGACATTGTTATTAAGTAAAGAAATAACATATTTTTATTAAAGTTTTAGCAAAAAAGTGGTCTCTTTTGAGATTCTTTTTAGAGCCTAAAAAGTGACAGAGAGGGAAACTTACAAGAATGTAGACATTAACCACAAAGCTAATCATGAAATAATATGCTTAATATGCCTTCTGATAGACAAGCTTCCATTGACTGTGACTAATATATTTGCCAACAGATTCCCGTTGTAAACCCATCCATTTTTATTTCCTTTTAACCCTTTCACCCAGCTTGCATTTCTAATGGAAAAGCTTACAATTCATCAGTAAGTGTAGTTTGCTGTGGTGATTCAAACAGACAGACAAAGCAATACTTGTCAATTTCACAGATACTTCAAAGCAACACAGTAAAAATTTAGGCTGTGGTAAAATTGGCTGCTTGCCACCCATACATTTAAAGAAATAATACAAATATCAGTGATACTAAAGTTCTGGGGTGATTTTTAAAAGTTTTACATCTTCTGTCAGTTTGTGAAATTGACTTGAGTTTTACTAGTGGTACATCTTACAAATATAAATTACAAGAAATCTGAATGCTGTTCCTCTCTTATTAGATGAATTCCTTGGTGTTGGTGAATTATGCTGATGAATTGGTTAAGTATCTCAGGTTAGGCAGAAAATCAGCTTGTATTGTTTTTGGTGCTTTTTTTTCATCTGCTATATCCAAGTATATATCTTGTTACAAGCACAGTATTATTTTATTGAGACAGAGTTTCGTGCTTGTTGCCCATGCTGGAGTGCAATGGCACAATCTTGGCTCACTGCAACCTCCGCCCCCAGGGTGCAAGTGATTCTCCTGCCTCAGCCACCCAAGTAGCTGGTATTATAGATGCCTGCCACCATGCCCAGCTAATTTTAGTATATTTTTAAATAGAGATGAGGTTTCCCTGTGTTGGCCAGTCTGGTCTTGAACTCCTGACCTCGTGATCCACCCGCCTCAGCCTCCCAAAGTGCTGGGATTACAGGCATGAGCCACCACACCTGGCCGGCTGGCCCTAACTTTTTATTTTTTGGGTGAGGAAATTAAACCTTATATTTTAATTTACTTAATTTTATTTATTTTAATTTAATTTTAATTTTTTTAAAGATGCGGTTTCACCGTGTTGGTCTTCTGGTCTTGAACTCCCAACCTCAGGTGATCTGTCAGCCTTGGCCTCCAAAGTGCTTGGATTACAGGCGTCAGCCACCATGCCTAGCAAATTTACTTAATTTTAATCTCCAGAAATGGCAGTCATATTCTTTTGTTGAGATGGAGTCTCACACTCTCACCAGGCTGGAGTGCAGTAGTGCAATCTTGGCTCACTGCAACCTCTGCCTCCCAGGTTCAAGCAATTCTCCTGCCTCAGCCTCTCAAATAGCTAGGATTACAGGCCTGAGCCACCATGCCCAGTTAATTTTTTTGGTATTTTTAATACAGATGGGGTTTTACCATGTTGACCAGGCTGGTCTTGAACTCCCAACCTGAGGTAATTCGCCCTCCTTAGCCTCCCAAAGTTCTGGGATTTACAGATGTGAGCCGCTGCTCCCAGGAAGCAGTCATATTTTTTAATAATAAATGATGTTGGTTGGTATAGCTATATTTATTTGTTTATTCATTTTTCTTTTCTTTCTTTCCTTTTTTTTTTTTTTTTTTGAGATGGAGTTTCACTCTTCTTGCCCGGGCTGTAGTATAATGGCATGATCGCAGCTCACTACAACCTCCGCCTCCCAGGTTCAAGCGATTCTCCTACTTCATCCTTCTAAGTAGCTGGGATTACAGGCATGCGCCACCATGCCCTGCTAATTTTGTATTTTTTAGTAGAGATGGGATTTCTCCCTGTTGGTCAAGCTGATCTCAAACTCCCAACCTCAGGTGATCCGCCTGCCTTGGCCTCCCAAAGTGCTGGGATTACAGGTGTGATCCACTGTTCTCGGCCTTAGTTTTCTTTTTTGAGACAGAATCTCTCTCTGTCCCCCAGGCTGGAGTACAGTGATGGGATCTTGGCTTACTGCAACCTCTGCCTCCCAGGTTCAAACAATCCTTTTCCTCAGCCTCCCGAGTAGCTGGGATTACAGGCATGTTCTTCCATACCCAGCTGATTTTTCTGTTTTTGTTTTGTTTTGTTTTGTTTTGATTAGAGATGGGGTTTCTCCATGTTGGCCAGGCCAGTCTTGAACTCTTGGCTTTAAGCAATCTGCCTGCCTCGGCCTTCCAAAGTGCTAGTATTATAGGTGTGAGCCACTGTGCCCAGCCTTAGCATAACTATATTTACATTTGGCTTATCTCTGGTTCTTGTTACCTGGCATAACCTAGTGGATTTTGTGGTAGACCTTCAGATACTGTTAGAAAACTGAGGTCATCTGCATCCTGATGTTGTACCTGAGTGATAACGTTACTATCATAATAAAGAATATAGAAACCTTTTAAGAATCATAGGCCTTGGGCTGGACGTGGCAACTCATGCCTGTAATTCCAGCACTTTCGGAGGCTGAGGTGGGTGGATCACCTGAGGTAAGGAGCTCGAGACCAACCTGACTAATGTGGTGAAACCCCAACTCTACTAAAAATACAAAAATTAGCTGGGCGCCTGTAACCCCAGCTACTTGGGAGGCTGAGGCAGGAGAATTGCTTGAATGGGAGGCAAAGGTGGCAGTGAGCCGAGATCATGCCATCTTGCTATTGCACTCCAGCCTGGGTGACAAAAACAAAACTCTGTCTTAAAAAAAAAAAAAAAAAAGAATCATAGGCCTACATTTTTTTCAATGTCTTAACTGAGTCTATTTATTTATTAGAACTATGTAAGTACCAGAATATAAAAACAAACAATTCTGGGACACATGTTTCTTAGGATCTCCTGAGAGCTGGTTCATGGGCAAAAGAAATTTTATTTTAAAAAATGATAAAAAACAATTGTCAGTTACCCCATCCTCACAGTAGCATAATATAAACTAAAGTCTAAATCATATCCTTTAAAACTTTGTGTAATAGAATTCGTACTTATTCAAATCCTTTTGAATTTTAATAAATAAAAATAAGTGCTCATTGATACAGTGAGTCAGCTGATTTTTAGAAAAGCTCAGGTGCTCATAGACTTTTTTTCTGTGAGAGTCAGCTTATTAGAGAGTATGGGGAGGAGCTGCTTCACAGTGTGCCCTACTTTGCAAGTAAGTAGATACTTTTTCCAAAGTTTTTATCAAAGTTCCCTTTAAATTAATACCTCCATTTACTTGAGCAAGACCACATAGTATCATAGTATCCAATGTCTTTTTTTTTTTTTTTTTTTTTTGAGGTGGAGTTTTGCTCTCTTTGCCAAGGCTGGAGTGCAGTGGTGCAATCTCAGCTCACTGCAGTCTCTGCCTTCCGGATTCTAGTGAATCTCCTGCCTCAGTCTCCCGAGTAGCTGGGACTACAGGCATGTGTCAACACACCCGGAAAATTTTGTATTTTTAGTAGAGACAGGGTTTCTCCAGGTTGGTCAGGCTTCTCTCAAACTCCCGACCTCAGGTGATTCACCCACCTCAGCCTCCCAAAGCTCTGGGATCACAGGTGTGAGCCGCCACACTTGGCTGTATCTAATGTTATTCCTAAAGTACCTGGTTAAACCAAGTAAATATTAGATGTAGGATTTTTCATAATACTTTATTGGTACCTCTAACTTTTTTTTAACCATGTAATATGTTTTATCTTTAAAGGGCCACTGTTTTAATATGCCTCTCTTCAAGAACCTCTAGCGCCTATTTCTTACTGTATCTATACAACAGTCTGCTTGGCTGTCTAGCTGGGGGAACAAAAAGTCTTGAGAGCAGTGCTTTTAGCCAATTGTAGGATCTTGAGCTAGGGGAGATCCCATATTAAACACGTGAGTGAATGAAAATTGTAGTGTCAGGTACAGTTTGATTTCTGTTTATTTCAGTATCACTAGACTTCAATGTGGAAATAAATATGTAGTTGAATAGGGTTTAAACTATGTAAGCATTATTAAGTAATGTCAAATCAGTGGGGAAACAGTAAAATTATGCTTGCAGTTTAATATGCTGTGCATTATGGTTTTCAGTTCAGCATTCCTATTTGTTCAGTGGTATTATTTCTTTCAGGAGAAAGCTTTGCAGAATTCAGATCTGCAGGAACTGATGATGGTTTCACCGATTTTAAAACAGCCGATAGTATATCACCACTAGAGCCAGCGACAAAAGACAAAACTTTTCCACCATCCTTCCCCTCAGGAACTATACAGCAGAAACAACAAACACAAGTGAAAAATCCTCTGAACTTAGCAGACCTTGATATGTTTTCCTCAGTTAATTGCAGCAGCGAGAAACCATTGTCTTTTTCAGCTGCGTTTAGTACAGCTAAATCAGCTTCCACACCACAGTCAACAGGTTCTGCTGCTACTACATTGGCATCGACAGCATTGGCATTGACGAAAACTTCTAGTTTGGCTGATGATTTTGGAGAATTCAACCTTTTTGGGGAATATTCTAGTCTAGCATCTGTTGGGGAGCAGGATGACTTTGCAGATTTTATGGCTTTCAGTAATAGCTCTATTTCATCTGAGCAAAAGGCAGATGACAAATATGATGCCCTTAAAGAGGAGGCCAGTCCTGCTTCTCTAACCAGCAACATGGGCAGCACAGTGAAGGGTGGACAGAATCCCACTGCTGCGTCTAGCAAGTATGATGTCTTCAGACAACTTTCTCTGGAAGGGTCTGGAGTAGGTGTTGAAGACCTGAAAGATAACACTCCTTCAGGAAAAAGTGATGATGATTTTGCTGACTTCCATTCCAGCAAACTTTCTTCTATAAACTCGGACAAATCCCTGGGAGAGAAGGCTGTGGCCTTCAGACACACCAAAGAAGACTCTGCGTCAGTGAAGTCCTTGGATCTCCCTTCCATTGGTGGCAGCAGTGTTGGCAAGGAGGACTCTGAAGACGCACTCTCTGTTCAGTTTGACATGAAACTGGCTGATGTGGGAGGAGAGCTTAAGCATGTCATGTCTGATAGCTCTTTGGATTTACCAACAGTTAGTGGCCAGCATCCTCCTGCTGCAGGTGAGGAATTGGTGAGATTGCTCTGGTGATGGTGTTGTAGATTTCAAAGATGATTCCGTGGGTGTTGATGTACGTGAATAAGGCTCTGGCCCTTTTATCTTTAGGAATATCTAATAACCTCTTGGTTGCCAGTCTCCCTAAAGCAGTATTAAATTGGATTCTGTGGATACTTGGATATACGGATACTATGGCTACTGTGGACCTTAGAGTGGGTGGCTAAAATATTTTTATTTTTGAAATCTAGCACCAACTTGGTGTTAGAGGCACATAGATACTCACTGCTAAGTGAACTCCACCTTGCCAGAAATCTGATAAAGACTTCTGCAACGCCAGCAGTGTTCTTCCATTTCTGTGAGTAAAATCAGTTTCCCTCTCCTTTTTTCTTCTCTTGGGTATACACAGCAGCTGCCAGTATAGTATTCTGTTTGATTGACAGAAACTAACTCTTGTTAGGTCAAAAAAGTAAAAAATTTCTAACCACTTGCAGTGCAGTTTGCCACATCCCTTTGAGAGAAGAAGAGGGAAAGTTTATATGTGGATGTTCTGTATGTCGCGGTCTGGCAAAGAGGAGGGCACGTGTTGTCAGTGGAATCCAGGAGCTGTTTTCAAATAGCTCTGCTGCTGGAAATACTAAGTTGTAACACATCTGTAGATGCTAGGAGAGGGTAACTACTGACTTTCTAATAAAATGCTTGAAAACGTCTTATTAGGGAGCCCTCTTTAAATTCTGTGTGGATTTACATGTAGCAGTTTATTCTCTAGTTCAACTTCTGTCATAAAAACTAGATTCCCAAGTGTCCTGGTTTTTGTTTTTTGGTTTTTGTTTTTGTCTTTTGATGTGTATATAGAAAGATAAACCTATTTTGTGGCCTTTTAATAATGAGAAATATCTCAGTACCACTGTATTATTCTAGAAAACGTTTTATGCATATGAAGGGTTTGGTTTTGTTTAACTAAAGAGGGACACATGAGACGCTTCCAAGTTTACAGATTCAGGCAGAAATTATAAAGTCCTATAGCTTTTGCATATACGAAATTGGCAAGTTGGAAAACAAAATTGCATCCATCCTTTGGTTATGGAAATGTAGGTATTCCTAAACAGGGTGCTGAATCAGGGGCAGGTTAGCAGAGACATTACATGTTTCATGTTGCTACTTGCTAGGGTATTTTTCAAATGCAGTGGGCGGTCTGAAGAGCTCCTGTGCCCTTGACTGTCTGCTTTCTTTTTTTGTACTTTTCCTCAGAAATTTTCTTATTTTTTTGCTGCTATTTGTTTGATAGAGTGATTTAGTTTTTCTTTTTTGTATGAGCTGCTTGAGCCACAGCAGTTGGTTGCAAAGTGCTCTGTTTTCTGAACAATATTTGATTTTTATTTAAAAAAATCACATAACATGTATACTAGACTTTTGGACTCTGAAGTTATTAATTAGAAACTATTTTTCTGAAAGTGAATCTATATTCTTTCACGGTGCCAAGCTAGTTGTCTTTATGAAATGAGTCTAATCCAGGTTTGGGGTGTCTTTTTTTTCCCCCCCATTTTATTTGGAAGTTGGTTTTTTCACCAAGCTTGTTCTTATTGACCTGTTAAAATAATTTTCTATGCTCACGTTCTTTTATGTATGTTTGAAACATCCTCAGCTTGGAGCCTGTAATGTTCAAGCCAACTCTTTTCCGACGGAGGATATTCTTAAAAGCAGATTGTTTCCTCCCATTGATCTGTAAACCTCCTGTCAGAAAGAAAGGAGCAGTATCCCTTTAGAGCGGTTGTTAAAAGGGGTTGATGTCTGACCAATGAGCTATATTGCTCTGGTGCAAAACGGCTGCAGAAATGTATTGTAGAGGGTAAATGGCAAGGATTTACTCAATGTAATGTGGTTTTATTTTATTCTCATGTTCACCACAGTATCTCTTGCTCTTAGTTTGAGGGTTAAAGGTACTTCTTGTTGGAGAAATAAGAAGTGAGCTGATGAAGAGAGAATAAAACCTAGTTTATTGCTATCTGTGGACCTTAATCCTGTTTAGAATCCCTAACTTAACTCTGAAGGGGATACTGTCTCTTTTAACTCTTGCTATAATTCTTTGTATGGAAGGTAGATAATACTGATAACATTGCCTGATTTCTCTGCATATTATTACATTTAACCCTTTGAGCCCTTGCTGCATATAATTTCAACTAGGCTGCTTTTTCTCCCTGACCAAATTTAATCTGTCTGGCACTGAAGCATCTTGACATGCAGTCATTAAAATCATATGGTTTTGTTGGCAGCAAGAGCCGACCCTCATTTGTGACGTTTTCAAAGGGTTAGCAAGACTTCTGTAGCTACCTACCTACCTACCTGTAAAGTAGCTCTTCTTTGACATTGAAAATCTTTGTATTTTAACTAGCACCCTTTTTCTTGGCTGCTTTTCTGATGTCTTTTTTTCAATTTAGACATTTTCTGTGTGAATGTGCCTTCGAACTTGCTTTAGTATATTCCTCTGCAAATAACTGATCTGCATGCTTATTCTGATGACTTCTTTTCCAGCTCTTCTGTATCACTTTCTTTTGTGATCTGTAAGTCTTGTGTTAATAAATAATTCTTTGGCATATTTTGAAAGTGTGGGGATGTGTGTAATTTGTGCTTTTTCAGGATTAGACCAAAGAAATACCTGGTTGGTGTCAAGTTGAAAGCAGTAGTATCCTGAGACTGGAGGGTTTCGCCTGTTTGTTTTGTTTTGTCAAACGAAACAAACTTGTCTTAGGAGACATTACTTGTCTCCTAAGAAAGTATTGGTACATTTTCGCCTTAGTTTCTTATTCTATTGATGTAATTTTTAACATGGCATTGGATTGAAATATAACTTCAAACTTAAGAGTAAACCTTAACACTACTTTACATAAAAGGGAGCGAGAACATTTATTGCAGTTTCTTCTCTTTAAGAAACTGATCATATTTTATTGTAGAGAATCAGTCTCTACTAGGCATTACATTGAAGAGAAGAGCAGAGGGAGGTGAGGAAAAAGACTTAAGAGCTGAGTGTTGTGGAAAGAGTTAACTATAACTATCTAGTGACGAGGTAGTTATAAGTCGATGGTTATAACTTAATCTAGTAATTATAGACTTAATTCAAAATAAATCATCAAATAATATTGAAAGGGACTAATGAGCACAATAAATGTCAACTGTTTACATTGATAATCTGCATAATGGAAAGTATTCTATATTAATTGCAGGAAGTCTTCAGGATGAAATTTGAGTTTGAAATTGGGTACTCAGCCAGGCACAGTGGCTCACACCTGTAATCCCAATACTTTGGGAGGCCAAGGTGGGTGGATTGCTTGAGGCTACAAGTTTAAGACTAGCCTGGGCAACATGGCAAAACCAAAAATACCATCATTACCAAAAATTAGCCGGGCATGATGGTATGCACCTGTAGTCCCAGCTATTCAGGAGGCCGAAGTGTGAGGATCACTTGACTCTGGGAGGTTGAGGCTGCAGTGAGCTGTGATCACATCACTGCACTCCAACCTGGGTGACAGTGCAAGACCCTGTCTAAAAGAAAGAGAATTTGGGTACTCCATCCTCTAATTACAGAGCATATTAGGTCTGCAGTTACGTATTCTGTTTGATGAAGCAACCCTCAGCGTTTTTTTTTTTTTTTTTTTTTTTTTTTTGAGACGGAGTTTCGCTCTCGTTACCCAGGCTGGAGTGCAATGGCGCGATCTCGGCTCACCGCAACCTCCGCCTCCTGGGTTCAGGCAATTCTCCTGCCTCAGCCTCCCGAGTAGCTGGGATTACAGGCACGCACCACCATGCCCAGCTATTTTTTTTGTATTTTTAGTAGAGACGGGGTTTCACCATGTTGACCAGGATGGTCTCGATCTCTTGACCTCGTGATCCACCCGCCTCGGTCTCCCAAAGTGCTGGGATTACAGGCTTGAGCCACCGCGCCCAGCTTTTTTTTTTTAAACTCATAGTACGTAAAGCACATTCTTAAAAGAACTTTGGGGGGTGTGTGTCTGTCAAAGTAGGGTTTGAACCATTCTTATTTTTAAGAAAACAATTTCTAGAAGGACTAATGAAATCTAGCAACAAGAGTAGGCCAAACTTGGAAAATGTTTTCTCCGTTTTCGAGCATGGTAACAGTAAAAAACCTTGAGAATATTACTGTTTCTCAGGTTAGAAACCCCAAACCAGTAAAATCCCTGGGAAAAGGGGATATTTCCATGGTTTACATTTTTTATTCTTATGTTTTGAGGCTTTAGTTCTTTGTTCTTTTTTAGAATTTGAGGAAGGAAATTAAATCACTGAAGATGAGGACTTTTTTTTTTTTCTTTTTTTTTCTTTTTTTTTTTTGAGACGGAGTTTTACTCTTGTTGCCCAGGCTGGAGTGTGATGGTGCGATCTCGGCTCACCGCAACCTTTGCCTCCTGGGTTCAAGTGATTCTTATGCCTCAGCCTTGAGTAGCTGGGATTACAAGGACACCCACCACACCCAGCTAATTTTGTGTTTTTAGTAGAGATGGAGTTTCTCCATGTTGGTCAGACTGGTCTCAAACTCCTGACCTCAGGTGACCCACCCACATCAGCTTCCCAATCAAAGTGCTAGGATTAGAAATGTGAGCCACTGCTCCCAGCCATTTTTTTTTTTTTTTTTTTTTTCCCCCCTTTTAAGACAGAGTTTCCTTCTTGTCACCCAGGCTGGAGTGCAATGGTGTGATCTCAGATCTCTGCTCACTGCAAACTTCACCTCCTGGATTCAAAGCAACTCTCCTGCCTCAGCCTCCTGAGTAGCTGGGATTACAGGTGCCTGCCACCATGCCCAGCTACTTTTTGTATTTTTAGTAGAGATGAGGTTTTACCACGTTGGCAGGCTGGTCTCAAACTCCTGACGTCAGCCTCCCAAAGTGGTTGCATTACAGGTGTGAGCCACTGCGCTCGGCCTAGATGATGAGGATTTTGAATAGGATTCCTAAGAGATCACTTATACTGTCTTAAATACGCCATTTAAGAAAGAAA